ATTTTATTTGGCGGAGGGGGGGCTCTTACAAACCTTATGACAATTCATCATTCGATTGTATCAAGCACACTTATACATATGTTGCCATCAACACTTCCAAACCAGTGTCTTTCTACTTGAGCCCTGGTAGCAGCTCCTCTCTTTCCCCCTCCCTCCCTAGCCCTCCTACGCTCATGAATCCTTGATCAATGATTGTATGTAATCATTGTTATTTTGTGTCTTACACCGTCCGTTGTCTCCCTTCACCCATATTTCTGTTATTTGCCCCCCTGGGGGTGGGCTATAGATCCAACCTTGTGGTGGGTTTCCCCTTTCTCCCCATCTCCCCTCCTCCCCTGCCCCCACCATCGCCCTGCCCTCATGAGATTGTTACCCCCACTACTGTTCCTGAGGGTTTTATCCGTCCTGAATTCCTTGTGTCGAGAGCTCTTATCTGTGCCAAGGCACGCACACTGGTCTAGCCAGGTAGGACTGGGTCATGATAGTGGGGAGGGGGCATTCAGGAGCTGGAGGAATGATGCGTGTTTCATTGGTGCTTTGCTGCACCCTGGTTGAATTGTCCCTTCCTTTTAGGGAAGCCCAGTCTTGAGTAGTAACAGGGCCCCATGCAGGGTAGACTGTGTGTCCACCTTCAGACAGGAGGATCTGCCAGCTCAAGGCCACCATGCTGACCCCAAGGCCACATTCAGATGCTGGCATGGCCCAGCAATGCCCCCCGATTGGGTGGTCCACACCTTCGGGTTATCTGCTGTTTGTATGTGTTGGGTCATCATCCCCATCACCTGACAGACCCTGATCCTCTGCCTCCCACCCCATCGGTAAAAGATGTTTTCAGGGGCCAGCCCCGGGGGCCCCCTCCTGAGGCTGGCAAGGCTCTTCTAGCCCCACTCCGCAGACTTCACAAGCCCCCGACCCCGAGCTCTGCTAGGGAAACTCTTGCCCTTTGGGCCCCATCCCTGCAGCTTCAGTCTGCCCTGCACTGTGGTGTCCATGTGACCATACAGGCCGGGGACAGTGAGGGCCCAGCGGGACTGGGGCCACCCCTCCTGACAACACCACGTTTTGTCTTGAACCTGTCCTTGTCTGTGCCTGCCCACCAACCCACCGGGAATCACAGGTCACCAGGCCATGCGAGGACGTAGGGCAGAGAAAAGAACAGAAACTCACTGCCATCAAGTCGATGCGGGCTCACAGCAACCCTGTGGGACAGGGCAGAACTGCCCCTGCGGGCTTCTGACACTGTGCCTCTTATGGGAGCAGAAAGTCTTGGCAGATGGGTGGTGGATGGGACAGGTGGGTGGGTGGAGGGATACATGGATGGATGATGGGTGATGAATGGATGGATAAATGGGATGGAAGGAAAGAAGGATGGATGGAAGGATAGATTGTATGGACAGATGGGATGGAATAAAGGAAGGATGGATGGATGGATGGATGGATGGATGGATGGATGGATGGATGGATGGAAGGATAAGGATAGATGGGATGGAAGGAAGGAAGGATGGGTGGATGGATGGATGGAAGGAAGGATAGATGGGAAGGAAGGATGGATGGACAAGCAAGAGTATGGGGAAGGAACAGGCACCCACCAACTGAACGGAGCACCTTGTCTTCAGCATTGGTGGAGAAATACAACCTGGACCTCAGCCGGGAGGAGAGCCAGCAGCTCATCACCAAGTACGACCTCAAGAACAACGGGAAGTTCGCGTACTGCAACTTCATCCAGAGCTGCGTCCTGCTGCTGACGGCGAAGGAGACGTCCCTGATGCGCAGGATGAAGATTCAGAACATACACCACATGGTAGGCAGCGGCGCTCATTGTGGGGAGAGTCCGGCGGGGTCCTCGCACCTTCTGTTCAGGCCCTGGCACGGGGGGAGATTGACAGCAAGGGTGCCCGGCACCTTTAGGGAAAGGGTCGCTGGCCCAGAGCCAGCCCTGCTCTGCCAGCAGCGAGGAGTCCCTGGGCCTCGGTCGGCTCAGACACCTGCCCAGGCCGTCAGTATTCGCCAGGCGGATGGTTGCCGAGGAAGGCTCCGTTGCCTTGTTTCCTGCTTCACTTACGTCCCAAGCAGTCCCTCAGGAGTGAGAGCAGCCCCCAAGCCCCCGGTTCAGCATGGCCACGAGGGTCCAGGGCTTGTGGGTCCAGATACAGCGCCCATCGTAGACACGGGGCACTTCCCGCCCAGATCGCCACTGGCAGCACAGCAAGCCCGTGCCAAGGGTGCCGTGCGGTGCCACGTTCACATTCGACTCTCCCGAAGTGTGCCGCACGTGGCCGGCCACTGCCAGCCCGGTGAAGTCCTCTCCTGGGGGCGAAGTCATCTCACCTTCAACCTAACGGCACCTCCAGGAAGGAATCTCAGAGCCATGATTATTGCAGACACCGGGCACCGCAGCGCACCTGGTCTGGCTACTCGGTTTCGTTACAACCTGGAGGGTCGCTGAAGCTCTTCATCATCTGAACCCAGTAGACGACTCACACTGGAAGCCCCCCACCCTCCTTCCCCACCTGATGTTGGAATGGCCCCGCCCTCCCGCTCACTCCCCTGAGGCCAGGGGGCCTCCCCATGGTAGAGGGGCCCCAGCCTGAGCCGTCACTTCCCAGCCCCTGAGCGGGGACGGGTAGTCCCGCTGTCTCCTCCGGTGGCAGAGGCAGGGACCTCCCCGGGGCCACCAGGTGTGCCGGCACCTCGTGTGGGGTCAGTAGACACCGTGCAGCTCCCCTTGTGTTGGCTGGTGTCTCAGGAGATTGCTGGGCCTTTCTTGCAAGGAGCCACTGGGGGACTCAGACCGGTGGCCTTCCATTGGCCTTGGAGAGAATCAGGATTCACACCCTCAGGGACTCGGCAGAGCCAGGAAAGGGGAAGTCAAATGAAATCACATTTCCAGACAGCCCCCGCCACAGAGCCTTGGGCAGCTGGGTGGGTGTGCGTTTTCCACGGCAAGTCTGCCCTCAGAGGCACTCTTGGGCTGAAAGCCTGTGGGGCCTGGGCCCTGCCCACACACACACACCTGCACCCTGAGCTACCCTCCTGTTCAAGGGTCTCTCCCCGCCCCACCCCACCCCTGGTCTTGCAGAAGGAGGCGGGTGAGGAGACATCGTCCTTCTACGCAGCCCTGCTACGAATCCAGCCCAAGATCCTGCACTGCTGGAGGCCCATGCGGCGCACCTTCAAAGCCTACGACCAGGACGGGACGGGGCTGCTGGGCGTGGGTGACTTCAGGAAGGTGAGGCATCTGTGCAGATGGGCACCTGGGGGCTCTGAGCGCACCTGTGCCCATGGGTGCCTGGAGAGCGGGCACGGCCATGCCGTGGGAACCGGGGAGGGGGCACCTGTGTGAGGCACCTGTCTCTGCAGGGCTGGGGGTGAGGGAGCCTGTGCTTTGAGGACCTACCTGGGCAGGGGTGGGGCCAACCCCAAGCCAGAAAACCTCAAAAGATGCTCCTCCCCCACCTCACCGAAGGCTGACCTCCCGTCCCTGACTCCATGAGACACCTGCCCCCACCCCAACCCCATCCACTCCAGGTCCTCCTTCCGGAGCTTCTAGAACCCCTCCATGACTTCATTTCAACCAGGCACCCCTGAAACTGGAGCCCCCATCTAGGCTCCAGGCTAGTGTCTCCCTCCCATCCCTGCAGGGCCAGGGTCAGGCCACCCTCCCAGAACCCACAGCACAAAGTCACAGCATATGGGGATAAACTCTCAGTGACAGCCCTGGCCCCTCCTCCTCTCCCCGCGCTTCCCAACCACCCTCCAAGTGATCAGAGTATGTTCAGCTCCCTAGGGTGGCCCTAAGCCACTCCCAACAATCCCAAATCCACATAGAACCCTTGTGCCTATAAAGAGCCAGGGTGCAGGGACCCTTCTGAACCCAAAGCCATCCCCCCACCCCCGAGTCTCCCATTGCCAGCCATTCCCACCCCAGTTCCACCCTTGGGGGAATTCAGCCTGGCCGTGGATGTTCCATCCACATCAAGAATAGGCCACCCTTGGGGGTGGGGGTGGGATGAGAATTGGAATATGCACTGTTGGCATGGCCCGCCAGCCCTTGAATAGCAAGCTTGTGCCTGCCTCCCGCTCTCCACTTCCCCTGCCAGCGATGAGAGGGCTGCCCTGTGGAACCTTGGGAAAGCAAACCGCATGCTCAGAAAACACATGTCAACCAAGGCATGCCAGGAGACCGCCAAAAGGCTACGGACACACCTACAGAGAATGCGAACAATGCAAATAATGTGTCCCCAAGTCTGTCTGATTCACTGAAGACCTTCCATCAACCAGGAGAGTGGGGGCTGGGAGCAACAGGCAGGGGCTGGTCCAAGCTCCCCGTCTGCTCACCTGAGCCCAGGCTGGCAGGGACAGCTTTCTGCATGGCTTCTGGGTCTAGCAGGTTCTCAGCATGGGGTTCCTGGGCCACAGGCTGCTCGGCACTCTCAGCTCCTTCCTCTCTGCTAGCTTGTTCAAGCCCTCTTACCTCTCCAAACAAACAGACTCACAATGCACCCCGGTCCCTTAGTTCACATCCTGCCCGGTTAGCACCACAAGGTGAGGCTTCACAACACAGCTCATCCCCCGTGGGGAAGAGTTCAATACGACCAATGATCATCACCCAGCCCGGGGGCACATCACGTTTGGGTGAGGTGTGTGAGGCAAGAAACAAACCCAGTAATACTCATGTGTGCATAAGAAAGAGCTTTTATCGAGAAGTAATTATATATCAAGAAAGCACCCCATCCCATCCCAGTCCAAGTCAAGTCCAAAGGACCAATATGAGTCCATAGGCCCCTCTTGAAACTCTCAGAACCACATGCAAGGGTGCAGAATGCAGGAAGATCACGGCCGTGGGTGCCGAGTCTTGTGGGCCCAAGGACGCATGGCAGGGCTCCAGTGGCTCTCAGGGTCAGAGGCAGAGTCTCAGCAGGCAGGGAGGCAACGGGCAGAGAGAGGGAGGGAAGGCCACACCCCTAATGGAGGCATCATCAGGCTGTGGCCTGATTGAGACAGGTGGGATTCCACCCCTACACTCTGTGGACCTGAAAGCATCTAATTGTGGGCGGGGCCCACAATTCCATCCATCACACCCACCCTGAAGAACAGGGTGGTCAGGGCCGTCTCCTGGCAGTGGGGAAAGCGCTAACGAGTGGCTTCCACTTTGGAGGGGAGAACGCTTGCCGCGGGACCCACAGCCAGTAACTGGTGGACACAGTGGTAGCGCAGCCCCCAGGAGGCCACCCCCTCCACCCCCTTCCTGACCACGCCTTCCCCTCCCAGGTCCTGAGGCAATACAGCATCAACCTCTCCGAGGAGGAGTTTTTCCACATCCTGGAATATTACGACAAGACGCTCTCTTCCAAAATATCCTACAATGACTTCCTGCGAGCGTTTCTCCAGTAGGGCCAGCAGCCGTGCCCCACACACACAGACGGGGAAAGGGGGGTGATGCCAGGCCAGACCCGCCCCACCCCCCCAAGACCCAGAGAATCTATGACGGGGAGTCGGGGAGCTGGTGAATCCCCAGAGTGTCTAAGAAGCAAAGCCTGATTCCCAGCCAGCCCTCCCAGCTGCTGGCCACGGCTTGGCTGGGTGCCGTCTGCTCCAGCCCCAGGCCGGGGCTCGGGGCTAGGCTGCCCGCCACACCGGTCCCCTGCCCCTGAGTCGGAGCCAATAAAAATGCAAGTCCTTGCAGCAGTGCCTTTCAAGACCTGGGCCCCCGGCGAGGACATGTCCACAGGCTGCGACCTGCCTGCCGCCTCTGTGTCCAGGTCACACTACTGAGGTCCCCCCAAAACACGTGTCCGGGTCACACTACTGAGGTCCCCAAAAACACGCCCCTCAAAAGGCCCCAAGCTGGGTGGGCTGGCATTTAAAGTGACCCTCAAGTGGCTTCCTGGGGAAGGACCGGGGTGACAGGCTGAGGAAGGACCGTCCCCCTCTTTTCCCCACCTGCGTGGAGGACAAGGGTGCTGCCTTCTGGAAGGTTCCAAAAGGGACTGGGGGTGGGAGAGTGGGAGAGCAGTCCCTGAGTCTGGCGGAGAGAAGGGCAGGGCGCAGCCCTCTGGCCACTCAAGCCCTCCCACCTCAGCCCCCATCTCATCCCAGGGTATTGTGGCCCAGCTGCTGGGCACAGCTGCCTCCCCACCCCTTTGAGGGGCCCCGGTGAGGCCCCCAGGGGGGAGCAGAGTTCTGCAGAATCAGGCTAGGGCCCGCTGCCCATGTGCCCATCCAGCATAGACCCCCTGTCTCAGTGACAGGGTTCTGCTGTCTCCTGCTGTTGGCTGGCATCCCAAATGCCCCCCTACCTGGTTCTCAGCTGGACCCCAGGGAGTCAGGTGCTGCATCACTGCGGGGGGGCGGGGGGGGGGCATCGGCCGGGGCCAGGGCCCCTGGGCTCTCACGCCAGGTGTGGGTGAATGTGGCACACAGGAGCCCGAGTGAGGCTGCTCCGTTTGTTAGAAACCCTTTGTCGAAGAGGAGTTGTAGGTGGATGCATGTCTTGCTGGATTCTATATCCGACATCTTTGCCTTTGAACACTTTTAAGAGGTCTGGAGGGATGACAGCCTTGGGAGCCCTCTGAGGCTGCTCGGCTCTGTCTTCGAGGGTCGCGACGAGTCAAAATCACTCCACAGCAGTGGTTCCGTGGCCTGCACGGCACGCCACCAGTGGGGCAGACCCCTTCTGCAGCCTCTGTCCCATGACCTGTTTGTCTGCACACAGGACACAGTGTGGCCGCTGGACACAGAAGGAGCCCCGGGTCCAGCCCAGAGCCCGATGCTGTGCCCAGCGAGCAGATTGTTCAGAAAGGCAGGGAGGATGCCCATGGGTGCCGCCCCTGCCCAGCCCACCCCCTCCAACCACAGTGTCCTGGCAAGGTGGAGCTTCCACCCATGTTGGAGATGGATACCCCTGGGTGGGGGCTGGTGCCAAGGGAAGGAGGAAGGGTGCCCACGAGCGTGGATGCAGGCGGCCTGGGAGGAGGGAGGAGGGAGCTCCTGCTTCCAGGGACCCAGTGTGTTCAGGGCGTGCGTTCGGGGACCCCAGGGTTCCAGACAAGTGGGGGCCACCGGGAGGCCACGGGGAGGATGCCTGCTCCTATGGGGGTGGTCCGGAGCCCTGTGTTCAGGGGCACAGGGCACTACAGCAGGGGAACCCCATCCGGCCTTGGGATCTGTGCTGCACGCGTGTGTTAGTCTGGGTACTTTACAGTAACAAATCCACAGAAATCATGTATAAGAGAGAGTTTTATATAAAGGTTAAGTGCACGTCAAGAAAACATCCCAACCCAGTGCTGCCCAAGCCCACAAGTCAACATTAACCCATATGTCCAACACCAATCCACAAAGTCCTCCTCCATCTCACAAAACAGATGCAATGATGCCGATTGCAGGAGGAAAGCTGAGTCAGTGAACGTGTAAGCATCTCAGCGCTGATAGGGGTCTCCACACGGCTGCTCCAGCACCCAGGGCTGCATCGGGGTAGGTCCATGTGGCTTCTACTCGGGGATGTCTTACAGGAAGGGAGCCTTGTCAGCTGAAGCAGCGAACTGGCTAAGGCAGCTGCACCCTGGTGCAACCATCACAAAGCAAGAGACCCAAGAACTAGAAAGGCGAGGCCCATAGAGCCATTTATCCTTCTGCCCTTCAATTAACTCCACATGTGTTTATCGGACAGGTGGGCACAATTAACTAACTACCTCAACGTGGTCCCCTGTCTTGCTTTGTTACAGAACCTGAGCTGGCAGGTGTCCGCTGCTCTGGGGAGACAGGCTCCATTTGTGGACAGAGAAGGGAGGTTGGGGGACCAGCGGGAACCTGGTGGGAAGGGGGCAGGTTTGTGCAGGAAGCCAGCTGCCAGAGCAGGACAGAGAGAGACTCACACCTGGTGCTGGCAGTCTGCCGCCTGGCCTTGATCTTCCTGGCCAGGCCTCCTCCCGGGCCTCCCCGTGCATGGGACCCTCCCGCCGAGCCCAGCTTGGAGGACATTGGCTTGGGGAATGCTCCCATGACTGGGCGGAGGTGGGAGGCAGGTGCTCCTGCTCTGAACCCCCTCCATGGTGACGGCGTCACTGAGGGCAGCCCCATCTCCCTGCCCACCCCTCCACATCAGACCCCTGCAGAACGACAGAGGAGCTCACCCAACATCCCAGCCTGGCACACAGTAGGTGTCCACGTGCTGGCTGAGTTTCGCACAGTGTGTGAGCGGGGGAGGTTGGGGAGCAATGTGGTACGGGGGGAACCTCTGTGGGTGGACCCCACAGGTGCTGGGTCACATGTGATGCAACAGGTGGCGACAAGGTCAGACTCCCTTGCCCTTGTCCATGCCTCCCAGGGCGTCCCAGGGCTTATCTTGAGATTCACCACCTCCATGGCAGGATGCTGAGAGGCAGCATCTTCAACTCAACCCAGGAGGCCAGCGCTGCCCGGACCCCAAACCCAAAGATGCCCCAGGAAGGGCCACTCCTGGCCACGACCCTGCCCCTTAGGCAGTGGTGGGATTCAACTAACTTCACAACAGAACTACCGCCCTAGTAACCATATATATATATATATACATAAAACACAATATGCCAAAAGATTGTTTATTATTTCACACAGTTACTGTCTAAGAACAATAAAAGAGGTACACAGACTAGATTACAAGAGTTTTAATATATTAATACTAAATAATAACGGACAGAAAAACTATAAAAGTGTTAAAGATATTTCCATATTGCTTCTTGATTGACCTCCTCCCTTGCAATATGCTTTGCTTTGATGATAAGCATTCTGTCTGAATTTTTATCCTTGGGGACGGAATGAACATCACTACTGGTGCCTAGAATACACTGTTGTGCAGATAAACATTCAAACTGAGTAAGGAGTATTAACTACAAGTGCCATTTTAACCACCAGTTCACCGAACTCAACAAAAAATTAGGTATTGGTTCTGCCGAACCGAGGTAAACCAGCTGAATCCCACCCCTGCCCTTAGGAAGCTAGGTGTCTATGTCCTCCGCAAAGCATAGTAAGTACCCTAAGCCCACTCACTACGCCCCAGCCGTTCCAACTCCGAGTGCTCCATGGGGCCAGTGGAGCTGCCCCCCAGGGTCTCCAAGGCCGAGACTCTGTACAGAAACTGACCCATAAGCCCCCCCACCCCCCAAGAGCAGCTGATGGGTTCCAACCGCAACGACCTGGTTGGCGGTGGAATGCTTTGAATCTCAAACTGAGTCCAGCAGTCGAGAGAAGGGGTTACTTCGCAGCGCCAGGTGGGATTTATACCAAGAACGGGAGGCCGACTCAACAAACAGAAATCGATCCACACCACTTCTAGAGGCCAAGGCTGCAGGATCATCTCCCACGCACACACAGCATTTGGGGAAAGCTGGCACTTTCCCTGATCAAGAAAAGCTGCCACCAAATGGGGATAGAAAGGGGGGGTGACATGCACCGTGACAGAGGACATCTGTGATCAACTCGAAGCTACTGGCACGCTTGATGGTGATGGGCCACCGCCGGCTTTTCCCCTGAGACAGAAAAGTGGTCAGTACATGTCCCCTGACACCCCTCTCACACCACACAGGAGGGTCTAGCCAGAGCAATCAGATACCATGGAGCGGAAATCAAAGATCAGATTGGAAAGCAAGAAGTAGAACTATGTTTACAGATGGCATGATCTTTATCTGTGACATCCTGAGCAAGACACACGCACACACGCGCACACACACAGCGCGTGCATTGTCATGACGGGAAGAAAATCTGTATTTCCCCGGCTTTTTTCTCACCCACAGAGTTTTCCAAACATTTCTAATAAGTCCTGACGATCATCCTGTGTCTTGTGAAAAGATCTATCAAGATTATACCTACAGAATACCTTTTCCTTTAAAATCCAAAATAAAGACTTAAAACCGGGAGTGAGAGGAGAAGAGAGAGAAAGGAGGCTCACAGCCCTGAGAGCCCTCCAGATTACTTACTGCCAGGTCTAAACACTGGCTGAGTGGCTGGGAGAAAGAAAAGGAAAAGGAAATACTGAAGTGGACTTGGATTTGTTCAGTGATATACTAGTTCATTCCAAACATATGGGGGGAATTATTTAAAGGTCACACCTCTGAAATCCCAAACATCGGTCCCTGGAATAGCCTTCAGAGCTGACGTTGCTGCCTGGAATTTAACTGGGCCAGCCGATCTCCCCAGGAGCTACTGCTCGGATCAACCAATGCTTCTGGCACCTTCTGGTCAAGTACCGGCCAAGGCCAAGATGTTCCCCTAAACTAGAAGATGCAGGACCATGTGAGGTCCCACCTTCATCCAAAGTTTCTTCACGCTGTCAAGATGGATCAAACCTCTTTTCTTAAGCCATCTTTGATGTCTTCCCGACCTTCCCTATAACTCTCGGTCCATCTAAAAAGAGCTGATGTTCTGTGTGGGGACTGCATTCCGTATACCCACTGCGCAGCGTTGATGATTCGAGAAGATGCACACTCAGGTTTTGTTGTGTTTTCAACCTCCGTGTAAAGGAAGCCGGTGATTTTTTTGTATGTTGACCTTTTGC